TTGAACCGCCAGCCTTCTGGTTAGCAGTCAAGTGCTTTAGCCACTATGCTACCAGAGATGTTCCCTATTTTTCTTCCCTGTGGTAAAGGAAAGGGCAAGCCCTTTCCTCAAGGAGGCCTGCCTTCTTCCTGTTTGCTCAGTCTTTATCCTTCCCATGGCCTCCAGGCTCCTGTGTCCTCAATTATCTCCTCTTTTCCCCATCTTCATTCTCTTGCTTTCCATTGGTTTCTTCCTCTACCTGCAAGCATGCTTTAGGCATCCCTTAGCATTTTAAAACACCCACATTCTTTCACCTATTTCTCTCTGGATCTCTACCCACTTCCCCACCTCCCAATTCCTTCCCTGTTGAATTTCTTAAGGGTAGCCCACATTTGCAGCTTCCGCTTCCTGACACCTCATCTACTTCTTCACCACTTGCCATCTAGCCTTGCCCGTACCACTCCTCTGAAATGGGTCTTCCGAAGATCCTCCCTGACTGCACAGCCACAAACTTTTCTCAATACCTCCCCTTCTCTTACCAAACCAGAGACTCCTCTCCATTTGACCTCTGAGGTTTGTTTAGAGTCCAATCCTCCCCTACTTCCTCAATGCCACAGCCCTCAGGTCCGTATCCTTGTAATCCCTTGTCTCTAGCTAATACTGTCTGTCTAAACCCAGTAGCTTGGAGCAGATCGCAGTTCTGCTCAAGAGCTGACAACAGTTCCCCCAAGGCCTGCTGAACTGCACGGAAGCTCAGCCAAGAATTGAAAAGCTTCTACAGTTGTCAGCGCTGTGCTCCCTACTGTATGCCTGAAACATGCATCACATTGTAATGTTTGTTCCTTCCCTATTAGATAGTGAGCTCTCTGAGGGTATGGAGCCTGTCTTGTTCACTGTGTTCTCTGCTGTACCCCCAGAACCTATCTAGCACAGTGCTCACCCATTTGTTGTTGTTGTTGTTGTTATTTGCCATCGAGTCGGCCCCGACTCATAGCGACCCCTCCTTGGGTTTCCGAGGCAGTATCACTACGGAAGTAGGATTGCCCAACCTTCCTTCCGAGGAGTGGCTGGTGGGGTTGAACCGCCAGCCTTCTGGTTAGCAGTCAAGTGCCTTAGCCACTATGCTACCAGAGCTCTGCTCACCCATAGATCCCAGTATTTATTGAATCAATAAGTGAATAAATAAATGAAGGAGTGAACAAATGAATAACATTGGCTTTGTCTGTGTGAGAGGAGCCATTGGGCCCTCACAGGGAGGCTCCCTGGATCACAACAGTGTTTTATTTCTCACCACCCCCTTCCTGCGTTTTCCTGTTGTCCTAGATCAGCTGTCCAATGGAACTTTCTGCAATGATGTTCTGTATCTGCACTGTCTGACATGGTAGCCATTAGCCACTCTAACTGCTGCATACTTGAAATGTGGCTAATGCAACTGAGGAACTGAATGCTTCATTTTATATTGCTTTAATTAATTTAAATTTATATGGTGGCTACCATATCAATCAATATCTAGAGCACAGCTAGGTATTGATTGGATCAGTGTAGATATTGATTGGATCGCACCTAATCATGAACTCATCACAATCCTGGCCCAAATTCTCCTACTCCCCAGCAATTTGGCCTTCCTCCTCTCCCTCACCTTGACCCCTGGAATCCCAGGACCTACCTGCTGTAGTAGACAGAGAAGACATCCTCCTTTAGCACCCCCTGAGAGACAATGTTGTCAAAGACAGGGGTGACTCCACTGACAGCCTGGGAAGGGAATCCCATGCCCAGGACCCCATCAAACTTGGCCAGCATGAAGGGTATTACAGGCAGCTCTGTGACTTCTCCAAACGTCTGTGTCACCATGATTCCACCCATCTGTGAGAAGAAGGACCACAGGAGCCTGAACCCCTTGATCGGGGTCTGGTCTGGGCTCCCACACCAGGGACCTTGGGGACACAGATACTCCAGGGTATGGCAATTTGGGACAAGCTCAATAAAATCATTTCACCAACCCCACACACATATCCTCTCTCCCAATCGACTGCCCAGTGACTGGAAGAAGCAGAGGCTGAAAAGGAGGAATTGCCAAGCAGTAATAAAAAATATTCTGAGAACTTCCATAGCCCTCCCCAATGGCCCAGTTTTCTCATTAGAAGGATTGCACCTCAGCCTCCTCCCCAGTTTGGGCTAAGAGTTCTTTAGTACAGTTGGGCCTGCCCTTCTTGTTACCTTTTACCTGATTTCACAGACAGAGGGGGTAATGAAGCCTCACATAGTAATTTCCTCTCAGGTTCCATGTGCATCCACCCCTAACTCTCACACAGCGGGGGCTAAAGAAACTCCAGAATGGGGAAGAGGTCAGACAAAGGCCAAATGAAAAAGAAAACCAGGCCCTGGCCCTCATCCCATATCCTAACATCAACTATGATCTTAAAACTTATGTCTGACCCTCAAACTAACTGTGACCACATGTCATAGTCTTGACTCTGACTCTGACCCTGGGATTCAGTCTAAGGTCTGGGGAAGAGGCCTGTCAGCTGGTTGACCTTATGTAGGTTTATTGACTGGAGGTTGTGCAAATTAGATGCAAAACCCTCCATAAATCACCCAACTTTGAGCCAGTAGCTCAGGTTTGTTCCATCACAGGCTCTGCTTCTTTGCAGCTCCAGGTAGAGCAGGAACTCCAACTACCCAGGCTTAGGTGGACTGGAGTACACCTTTTCCCTGGTAGGAGTCCTAGAGGGGCAGAAGAGCCCACCCTGAGCACCAGAAGGGCAGGGGTCAGGTGACCTGGGGCGCCCCCACTTACAGTCACCACGTCCTGGCTCAGGAAACCTTTAACCTTTCCCGATCCATAGCTGATGGTGAATTCTGTCCCGTTCTCCACATAGCTGGAGGATTCCGAAGAGTCGTAGCGGTTATGAGTCTCTGGTAGAGGGACACAGGCTTTGGTCCATCCAAAGAGGTCCCCGCAGGGGGACTGGGTAGTGGGCTATGTATTGGTCTTGCCTAGTTGGGGACTCAGCTTAGGTGCAGGGTTGAGGGGCCCTGATGTCATGGGTTTGGAAAATGTATTTTATCAATCATGGGTTGGGTTTTTTGAGCCCCTATTATGCCCATAAGGAGCTCTGGTGGTGTAGTGCCTAAGGCACTTGACTGCTCACCAGAAGGCTGGCAGTTCAAACTCACCAGCCAGTCTGCAGAAGGAAGACTGGCTACTTCCATAAAGATTTACTGCCTCGGAAACCCAAAGAGGGTCACTATGAGTTGGAATGGACTCGAGAGCAGTGAGTTTGGTTGTTATTATGCCCGTACTTTTGACCTTTTCATCCCAAATGGGGCATTTTAAATAATTGTTCACATTGCAATGGAGAGAAGGTTCTGGGAGTAAGTACTCAACTGAGAGGTTGTTGACTAAGGATGGGGATGGAGGAGCCCGAGGGCCTGGGCTGGGGTGGAGGGTTCAGTCCTGTCTCAGTTTGAGAATGACTAGGAAAGGGCCAGAAGCCCCTGGAACTTGCCTTTTTTTTTTTTTTTCCAACTGTGGTGGCCTAATGCAAAGTGAGAGGCACCTTCCTCTGTCTTCCCAGGGTCGCTGGGAACAGAGGCAAAGAGGAAGCAACTTAAACGGCAACAGGAGGAATTGTAGCTAGATATGAGGCAGGACTGCCCAAGTGTGGTGGTGGGGGGTATGCAAAGGTCTGGGTCTCACCACACGCAGTGTAGAGAGGGCTGCACTTGCTGGAGGGCACCCAGAGGTTGGCCGAACCAGTGTCAAAGACGACTTTGAAGATCTGGGGTGGAGTGCCAATGCCAACCTCACCATAGTACTGGGTCTATAGGGGTGAAAGAAGAGAGGCTGCTGGAAGGGTTAGGAGGAGCCTTGGGCCCTAGGGGTCTTGCTTGGCTCTAGCCTTGGATTTCCAGTTGAGATAAGGCAGCTCATACAACCCTTTTGGGTTTCAGTTTTCTATCAGGGACTACGTGGGAGCCTTAGAATTGTCCTGTGGCTTCCTAGAAATGGAACGCTCAGTAAGAGGAAACTTAAAAACACTAGACATGAAGGAGGAAGGTGCCCTGACCTAGAAGGTACCATTGGAGCAGTAATGCAAGCTGTGTTGAGCCAGGCCACAGAAACCTCCACCAAAGATCCCACATCCCTCCCTACCCAATAGTGACACCTGGGTTTGAGCCAAGAGCCTAGATTCCTGAATTCCAAACCTAATCCTGCCCCTGACAACCCCCTGCCCTCTGTGCTTTATTTAGGCTTTCTAGCTGTAAAATGGGAAATTTGTAAAGTGCTTATGTTCCTCAGCTCCTCAGTCAAAGATAACATGGAACGAGTGGGTCTTGCAGGGAAAGAAAGTCTGAGGTCCAAGAGAGAAAGGAGTTGGGGAGGAAGAGAGGAGCTGAACTAGGTACTCACATCCAGGTAGTTGGTAAGGATCATGGGGGAGGTGCCGTTGCCAAGGGAGACTCTCTTGTTAAAGTGACTCCACTCAGCACTGAGCTTGGCCACATCCACACCTCGCTCCTTCAGGCTTTCCCGGACTGAGGGCATTTTCTTGAGGAAGATCCTGGTGCAGAGTAGAGGAAACAAACATAGGAGAGACTTGTACTCTCCCATGGAGTCCTTGGGTGGTGCAAGCCATTACCATGTTCAGCTGCTAATTGAAAGATTGGTGGTTTGAGTTCACCTAGAGGCATCTCTGGGGAGCTCTGGTAGTGTAATGCCTAAGGCACTTGACTGCTAACCAGAAGGCTGGTGGTTCAAACCCACCAGTCACTCCTCAGAAGGAAGGTTGGGCAATCTACTTCCGTAGTGATACTGCCTCGGAAACCCAAGGAGGGGTGGCTATGAGTCGGGGCTGACTCGACGAGACATAACAACAACAACAACAACAGAGGCATCTCGGAAGAAAGGCCTGGTGAGCTAGTGCTGAAAAATCAACCACTGAAAACCTTGTGGAGACAGTTCTACTTTGACACACAGAAGGTCACCATGCATTGAAATCTACTCAATGGCACCAGCAGTAGTAGTCTGGTAGAAGTTCTCTCCTATAATGGCAAAGTCCCTGAGGCCATCCCCTGCTCCCAGTACCCCAGGCACCTATGAATCACCCTCGTTCCCTAAGGACCCTAAAGGAGAATTTTCAAGCCAGTCACTTGCAACACCCATGGAAGCACCAGTCAAGAAATCAGACATTGTATTGCAGTGAGCAAATCTGCTGCAAAAGACCTCTTTAAAGTGTTAAAGAGCAAAGATGTCACTTTCAAGACTAAGGTGAGCCTGACCCATACCTGGTATTTTCAATCACCACATATGTACATGAAAGCTGGGCAATGAATAAGGAAGACCACATAAGAATCGATGCCTTTGAATTGTGGTGTTGGTGAAGAATATTGAAAATACCATGGACTGCAAGAAGAATAAACAAATCTGTCCTCAAGGAAGTGCAGCTGGAATGCTTCTTAGAAGTAAGAATGGCCAGACTTCGTCTCACTTACTTTGGTCATGTTGTCAGAAGGGACCAGTCTCTGGAGAAGGGCATCATGGTAGGTAAAGTGGAGGGGCAGCAAAAAAGAGGAAGACTCTCAACGAGGTGGATTGACACAGTGGTTACAATGATGGGCTCAAGCATAGCAGGGATTGTGAGGATGATGCAGAGCTGGGCAGTGTTTCGTTCTGTTGTATACAGAGTTGCTTTGAGTCGGAGATGACTCAGTGGCACCTAACAACAACAACATGAGTCACCTGGGTTTGTATCAAACCCTCAACTGAGGTTCTCCTGTTGTCTACAATCTCATCACTGCAAGGCCATTTGTTTATTCATTCCATAGTCATGTGTTAGACATCTACTCTGTGCCTGCATTATGCTGGATACTGGGGATGTAAAAATAAAGATTATCACTGCCTCCAAGGAATTTCAGCAGATGGGGAGACATGCAAGACATCTCTGAAGAGTGCCTCCTAAGTGCTGGGCAGGAGGGCGCAAAACCATGTGGGCCTGTAGGTGGCAGCAGATGCCTGCAGCAGCCTGCCAGGCTTCTGGATGCCTGGGAGCTAGCAGGAGCCTGGGCCTAGGGGGATGGAGAAGACCAATTGAACTGGTCTAGAGAGGAAGATCAGCACTTCCTGAGTGCTTGTGCACTTTGTCCTTAGAAAGATGGGCCTTGAGCCTAGTCCAGTCCTTCAGCTTCTTTCCAGATACCTTCCCATTCATCACCTTTGGGGGGCAGAATCAAAGAGGCCTGGGAAACTCACACAATACTGAACTGTTACTGGGTGAATGTAAGACACTGCAGGCCCTGCCCCTCATGCAACTGCCATAGCAACTCTGCTTACTAACTTGTTATCCCCATTTTAGAGATGAGGAAACGAAGGCTCAGAGTGAGGAAAGTGACTCAGAAATGATGGAACAAAAAACCAAACTCACTGCTGTCGAGTCAGATCCGACTCATAGTGACCTCTCCTTGGGTTTCCAAGGCAGTATCACTATGGAAGTATTGCCCAATCTTCCTTCCAAGGAATGGCTGGTGGGTTTGAACCACCAGCCTTCTGGTTAGGAGTCAAATACTTTAAGCACTATACCACCAGAGCTCCTAGAAGTGATGGAATGGGGATTCAAAGCAGTATGCCTGACACTATTTTCCATATAGGTCCACCTGGGCTCTGGCATGAAGGCTATTTGCAAAAGTCTAGAGGAAGATGAAGCTCCGGTGGCACAGTGCCTAAGGCATTTGACTGCTAACCAGAAGGTTAGCGGTTCAATCCACCAGCTGCTCTGAGTAATCTACTTCCATAAAGATTCATAGCCTTGGAAACCCAGCGTGTATCTCTGAGTTGGAATCAACTTGATGATGGCAGTGAATTTTTTTTTTTTTAAGTTAGGGTTGAGGGTCCCCGGATTGAAGGCAACTTAGTTTTGCAATAGGCTTTCCCCATTCTAGTGGCGATTCCTTCTTTCTTCTCAGTTGCAAGTCCTCCTTTTCTTCCACTATCCTTTGCATTCTAGGATGTAGAATACCCCATGTATTCTAATTGCTGTCTCCCATTGTGCCTACAAAGCTGAATGCTACTTTAATACCTATCTTCATAATATTAAAATGGAAATGACTTGTCATATTTATATCACAGTTTACTGTTCACAAAGTATTTTCACAATTAAGATCTTATTTGATCCCCAATCATCCCAGGAGGTGAGTAGTTTTATTATTCCCATTTTACAGATGGGGAAATGGAGGTTCAGAGAAGGTGTTACCCAAAAAAGGGTTCATTTCTTACTCTCCTCCAAATAGCCTTCTGCTGTGGGCCTTTATTTATTTATTTATAATTTTACTGTGGTAAAATGTATAGAAGAAACTATTTGCCATTTCAACCATTTTTATGTGTATAATTCAGTGACATTAATTGAATTCCTCATATTGTGTGACCATCACCACTATCTATTTTCAAATTTTTTATAACCTTTAACAGAAACTCAGTGGTCCTTAAGCAATAATGTCTCCTTTCCCCCTCCCATTCACCCCAGTAACCACTGATAAACTTTGGTCTCTATGCACTTGCCCATTCTAGGTATTTCGTATAAGAGGGATCCTATAAGATTTGTCTTTTTGTGTCAGACTAATTATGTTAGGCATATTTTCAAGATTTATCTATGTCACAGCATGTATCAGAACATCATTTCTCTTTATGGCTGAGTGGTATTTCATTGTATGCATGTACCATACTTTGTTTATCCATTTATCTGTTGACCAACACTTGCGTTGTTTCCACGTTTTGGCTATTGTGACTAATGCTGCAACAAACACTGGTGTACAAGTATTTATTTGCATCCTACTTTCATTTATTTTGGGTGTTTACCTAGGAGCAGAATAATAGGGTCATGAGGTAATTCTAGACTTCTCTTTTTGAGAAACCATCAAACTGTTTTCCACAGTGGCTATACCATTTTACAGTCCCACTAGCAATGCACGAAGGTTACTTTCTCCACATCTTTGCCAACACTTGTTATTTCTGATGATAGTCACCCTAATGAGGGTGAAGTGGTATCTCACTGTGGTTTTCTGAGCCTTTATTTTTGCCATTCACCTTTCAAAAAATCCTTTCCTTCTTCTCCCTGCTCCCCACCCCCAGCTCTTTAATCCTTCAAAGCGCAGCCTGGACCCCTCTTCCAGGAAGCTTGTCCTTAGGATTCCTGTCCACACTGGCCTGGCTTTTCCTTGGGCCCCTGTTTTTCCCTGGGTGCTTGCGTACATCCTACACAGCCTGATGCTGACAGAGGCAGTGGGATACGACAGTGAGGGCAGAGTGGTTGTAAAGTGCATGTTTGAGTCTGGGCACCTCCTCTTATCACCTGTGTGGTTCTGAGCAAGTTACCCACCCTCTCTGAACCTCTTCTGAGCACTCTATGAAAGAGTTTAGTGGTAGTACTGTTAAAAACCAAATCAAACCAAACTCACTGACGTTGAGTCGATCCCCTCCTTGAGTTTCCAAGGCAGTATTTCTATGAAAGTAGATTGCCCAACCTTCCTTCTGAGGAGTGGCTGGTGGGTTTGAACTGCCAAGCTTCTGGGCAGCAGTCAAATGCCTTGGGCACTACGCCACCAGAGCTCCAAGTAATACTGTGTTAGAGCTTAAATTCCAAAGCACTTGGGTTTGCGCAAGGCTGTGGTCTGCAGTGGGAGCCCTAACTCCGTTTTGAGGCTTGACATAAGTTCACACCAGTTGAGTTCTTTCTGACCTTCAAACCAGCTTTGTAGCTGTGCATAGACAAGTTCCAGGACAAATCTAGGGAGGGGCAGTTTGTGCTCTGGAAGAGTGCGGTTGAAAGTATACTCTGCTCACTCAAAGAACTAGGGAACTTGCCTGAGTGTGTCCTTTCCTAATTTAAATTAAGGTTGGGGTCCTGGTATTGTTTTGTAGACACTTAGTAGCTATGACTCAGGCCGCATGGTCATGAGTAATGCCAGGTAGTCTTTTTTTTATCTTCAGTTATGGATATAACCCAATTATGGTCCTTTTCCCCTTCTGTAGTCCTGCCTGTAACAGTGATGAATTGAGCTGCCACCCATCATGATTTTGTGATGATTCCCTTCTTTTTTCAATCATATAAAATTAGCCCCATGGCCGTGAGTCAGCGGACTCCATTCAGCTTTCTGTACTGTGTACCTGTTGATGGTTTCCCTCATCCTGAATGATTGTTTTTGTCCCATCCAAGGCTTAATGAAAATGTGTGTTAGGGGAAAAGAGACTCCAAATTCTAATAGGTTCAATAGAGACACTTGTATTAAGCCTTGGACAGGACAAAGACAATCATCCTGGATGAGAGAAACTATCAATCAGCATTAGAAAGCTGAATGGAATCCGATGAGTCTTGACCATGTGGCTAATTATGTATCATTTTAAATCATCACAAAATCATGATTGGCAGTAGATAGATTAGTCACTGTTACAGGCGGGACTATGAAAACAAAGTAAAGACCATGATTGGGATTTGAAGATAGGGAGGGGTTACAGGATTAGTTCTGGGCCTTGACTACCTGGCTGGGTGGTGGTCCGGATAGGTTGTGACTCATGAATGACCATGCAGCCTGAGTTTTAGCCACAAGACCCCAAGACCAAGACTCCAACCTTAATTAAAGTAGAAAAGGGCACACTCAGGCAAGTTCTCTGGTTCTCTGTGTGAGCATAAGCTTCTTTCAACCATACTCTTCCTGAAGGCAAACTGCCCCTCCCTAAGTTTATCCTAGAACTTCTCTGTGCATAGCCACAATGATGGTTTATGGTCAGAAAGAACCCAAATGGCACCTGAAATTTATGTCAAGCCTCAAAATGGAGTTAGGGCTCCTACAGCCTTCCACAAACCAAGTGTTTTAGAATTTAAGCTCTCATACAAGTGCCTCTATTGTACCTGTTTGAATCTGGGGTCTCTTTTCCCCTATTACAGCACCTACCTCAGAGGGTCACTGTGAGAATTAAACTGTCCACTGCTCAGTAAATGTAAATTCTGTACGTATAAGGCAATGAAAGCACTTTGAAAACGAGGGTCATTTGTTCAAATCTCCCAAAGAGTAAAATTCCAGTAAGTGTTTTAAAAGCCTGACTCTCTCCACCTCTTGCCCAATTCCATTCTGGCTCTTCTCTGTTGGAAGAGAACAAGGAAGGATATTTTCACTTCCCTGTACTTTTGCCTAAGGAGTCCCTGGGTCGTGCAAACAGTTAAGCACTTGAATATTAGCTGAAAGGTTGATGGTTTGAACCCACCCAGAGGCACCTAGGAAGACTGGCCTTAAAAATCCTATGGAGCACGTTTCTCTTTGAGCATATGGAGTTACCATGAGTCAGAACTGACTCCATGGCAACTAAAAACAACTTTTACCCTGGGGCCCTAGGTGGTGCAAACAGTGCACTGGTCTCCTAACCTAAAGTTGGGTAGTTTGAAACCACCCAGTGACGCTGAGGAGAAAGGCCTGGTGATCTGCTTCCATAACGATTACAGGCAAGTAAACCCTGCAGAGCAGCTGTACTCTGCGACACATGGGCGCCTCGTGAGTCAGAATCCACTTAATGGCAAGGAGAAAACTTTTATCCTGGGGCAGTCAGTAAGGTGGAGGCTGCCCTAGACCTGGCTCAGGCACACTGCTGGGAAGCACCTGTGTCCTCTCCCAACCCAGCAGTTACTCCCTGGGAGCCTTGAGACAGGGAAAAGAGGCTTTGGAAGAAAAAGGCCAGGTGTATGACCAGGCTTAAGCCCTCTGAGCCTCAGTGTTTTCATCCATAACATGGGAATGTTGAGATGAAACATGTAAAAAACAAACAACAGCAACAAAAACATTACCATTGAGTGGATTCCAATTCTTAGCAAACCTGCAAGACATAGTAGAGCTGCTCTGTGGGTTTTTTAGGCTATAATCTTTATAGAGGGAGCACTCATGGGGTAGTGCCTAAGGCATTTGACTGCTAACCAGAAGGCTGGTAGTTCAAATCCACCAGCCACTCCTCAGAAGGAAGGTTGGGCAATCTACTTCTGTAGAGATACCGCCTTGGAAACCCAAGGAGGGGTCGTTATGAGTCGGAAAAGACTCAACAGCAGTGAGTTTGCTTTTTGGTTTTTAATCTTTACAGAAGGCATCCTGGTGGAACAGTGGTGAAAGCACTCAGTGCTAACCTAAAAGAAAACAGTTTGAAGCCCCTAGCCACTCCACAGGAGACTGGTGAGGCAGTTTGCTTCTGTAAAGATTTATAGCCTTGGAAACTGCCTGGGGGTAGTTCGGCTTTTGTCCTATAGGGTCACTGTGAGTAGAAGAATCAACTCAAAGACAGTGGGTTTGGTTTTTTTTTTTTGGAATCTTTACAGAAGACTGCCACCTCTTCCTCTCATGGAGTTGCTGGTGAGTTTGAAGTGATGGCATCTTAAGTAGCAGTTGAGCACTTAACCACTGTGGCACCAGCGCTCCTTGAGACATGTGAAAAGACCCTGTGAAATCCTAAGCATTTTTCAGGCTTAGCAACTATTACTGTTGTTAAAACTTAACTCTCTTACCTTCAAGTCATCCTGCACTCCCCAGACTAAAAAAATGCTTTCTCTGTGAGGCCTTCTCCCAATCCTGCCTCCCCCTTCTCCAGCCCTAAGGAATTGCTTGTTTCCACAGGGCACTAAATGGATGTTAGGTCTTTCTCCTCCCTCCTAGGGCTGCTTTAATGCTTTCTTTTAACCTTTATGCTAATCTGCCCCATAGTATTGTACTAATAGCAGCTGTGTTCTTGCAATGTTCAGGGCACCATGCTAGTTGGCTTTATAGACATTATCTAATTATATCTTTGCATCAACCCGGTGAAGCAGGTACTGCTATTATCCTTGTTTTTAAAACGAGTAAATCGAGACTTGGGAAGGTTAAGTAACCTGCCTGTGTTTCCAGAACTAGTTAGTTCTGCTAGTGGCGTAGAATTTAATCCAAGACAATCCCACTCTAGAAGCTTTCCTTTTAGCCACTATGTTATGCTGCGTCCTTGGTAGAGTTAATTGTCTCTAAAGCCCCCACAATGACTAGTGTAGTACTGTGCCAGGAGCCCTGGGCAGAAATCAAAAGATATGGCTTCAAAGCCTGACTAGTGCCATTCAACTATGGGCTGTGTGACTTCAGGCAAGTCACTTGACCTCTCTGAATGGGAAAAAACTTCCCTGCCCTGCTGGATGACTTTACATATCTGAAAGCTGGAGGTATTAGGAAAGTGGGAATACTGCATCCCTGCCACCCCTTCTCAAAGGAGCTCTGGTATGGTGCCTGAAGCATTTGACTGCTAACCAGAAAAAGCCAAACACACTGCTGTGGGTTTCTAAGGCGGTATCTCTATGGAAGTAGATTGCCCACTCTTCCTTCCGAGGAGTGGCTGGTGGGTTTGAACCTCCAGCCTTCTGGTTAGCAGTCAAATGCCTTAGGCACTACGCCACCAGAGCTTCTGCTAACCCACCAGCAGCTCCACAGAAGGAAGATGGGGCAATCTACTTCCATGGAGATTTACCACCTCAGAAACCCAAAGGGGGTCTCTAAGAGTCAGAATCAATCAATAGCAGTGAGTTTGTTTTTGATTTTGGTGCCCCTTAGGTCTGTGTTACCTTCTTAAGATGCTGGAGTCCGCAGGGAGACTGAAGGTGCAGTAGCCCCAGAGCACCAGCAGGAGTCCCCAGCGAGCCATCCTGCTCTGTCCGCCCAAGCCTCACCTTGGTCCTGGACTCTCTGGAATCCACTGAAGCTTTGTGGCCACCAGAGCCCTTCTCCTTTTATATGCTCCCCACACGAGATGGTTGTGATTCTCTTTGCCTTGATTTATTACTCTGGGGCAGATGGCAAGGAAGTCAATCATAAATCCCACCCATGGGACCAAGCTAGGTGGGGGAAGGGTACTAAGGTTTCCAGACAAGGAGCAGGAGGGCTGGAGGAAGGAGGGCTGTGGGAAAGGAATGCTGTACCCAGTGACGCCAGCAGACCCCCGTCTCGACCTGGCCCTGGGGCCCCTGGAGGGGCAGAGACTGATGGGAAATAGCACTGCCCAGGGACAAAGTCAGTGTTGGGACAGGCTTAGAACCTAGGTTTCCAAACCCGTAGCCCAGATGCCCTTGAAGCTGCATCTTCAGTATTAATATTTGTTTTTTTCTCTGACTTCCTCCAGATCACATCTCAGTTTTTCCATCTAGAACATGGGTGAATCCTCCAGGTTTGTCCCCTGGTAGAACCAGATCCAGGCCCCTTAGTGCTGCCTCCCTCCAAGCCACTGTTAGCAGTGGCTGTTTATGGAAAGTACATGCACCACAGCCTGGGAGAGGAAGGAGCACCTAAGATAATGCTCTGGAAGTGGGGAGCTGGGGATGTGTGGGCGTTCTGTGTACCCTCAGTGGACCTCACTAATGGAGGGAGGGAAAGTTGGTGGTTCAAACCCACCAGTCTCTCTGCAGAAGGAAGATGGGGCAATCTATTTCCATAAAGATTTACTGCCTCAGAAATCCAATGGGGGATCACTATGAATGGGAACCGACTCAATGGCAGTGGGTCTGGTTTGGTGTTTGGTGTGGTTAGCTGTAAGGAGCTATGGTAGTATAGTGGTTAAGGCATTTGGCTGCTATCCAAAAGGTCAAGGCACTGCCTGCTATCCAAAAGCTCATTGGTTCAAAATCACTAGCAAGAGAAAGATGAGGCAGTCTTCAAGACTTATAGCCTTGGAAACCCAAGGTGGGGGGGAATCACTATGAATCAGAATCAACTTGTGTCAGTGAGTTTGGTTTGGTTTTGGTTTTGGTGGTTAGCTGTGGGGAAGTAATGAGGGCAAGGGAAGACTCTTTGTGGAGGAGGGGCTGTCTTTTCAGATTGAATGGGCAATTACTGTTATTGTTGTTGTTGTTATGTGCTGTCGAGTCAAACCCGACTCATAGCGACCCCTCCTTGGGTTTCCGAGGCAGTATCACTACAGAAGTAGGATTGCCCAACCTTCCTTCCAAGGAGTGGCTGGTGGGTTTGAACCGCCAGCCGTCTGGTTAACAGGCAAGTGTCTTAGCCACTATGCTACCAGAGCTCCCTAAGCACCCTCTATAGGCTAGGGTGCAGTCACTGGCTGGTACAAATGGTTAAGGTGCTTGCCTGCTAATGTGCTAAATTTTGGAGGTTCAAGTCCACCCGAGGCATCTTGGAAGAAAGGCCTGGAAATTTACCTCTGAAAAAATCAGCCATGGAAAAAGTTATGGAACATAGTTTGACTCCAATACACAGGGCTCTTCATGAGTCAAAATCAACTCAACAACAACTGGGGAAAAAAAATGGCCTAGGATGTGCACTCATTCTTCTTTCATTCATTAGCAAGTATTCTTTAAGCTTTTATTTTTTTGTAATAATGCCAGGCACTTTTATAGATACTGGACCTATAATGAGGACATAAATAGACATGGGTTCTGGTCTTGTAGAGCCCAGTGTCTTGTAGAAGAGACAGTTTGTTGTCATCACAACATAAGTATAAATAGTAGCAATGACTATTGACAGTCAGGAGCCTCCAGAAAGGTTTCCCTGAGGAAATTATACTTAGTTATGATGCAAAGGCTGCAAATATGATGAATAGCCGAAGAGGGAAGGAAATAGAGGCCAAGGAGAACAGCATGTGCAAAGGCTCTATGGATAGAGAACATGGAGAGAACAAAGACCTGAAAGAAAGCCAATATAGCTAGAATAGAGATGAGAGGGAGTGGAGCAAGAGAGGAGGCTGCACAAGCAAGGGGCGACAGGAGCTAACACAGATGGAGTGCTTCCTATGTCCAGGCACTACTGTAGGTGCTTAATGCATTTAATTCTCACAATAACTATCTGTGGTAATACCATCATTACCCCATGTTCTGGTTACCTAGTGCCACTCTGACAAGAATATACCACAAATGGGATGCCTCTAACAAACAGTTTATTCTTACAATTTGGGAGCTTTAAGTCTGAGTTCAAAGTGCCAGGCTTGAGGGGCTGGATGAAAGCCCCTCAACCTTGGGCTTCAGGTCTGCCTCCTGCTCCTGGCCCACTGAAGCTGGAGGCTTTTCTTTACTTAGCTGCTAGCGACTGAGGCTGACAAACCCAAGGTCGACAAGTAACAAGGCAAAGTCCCAATATTACCAAACCACACAGCAAGCCATCAATTCAAGTCCATCGAAAGTCCCAAGGTCGGCAGAGCATGGCAGGCTGCTGAACAATGACATGGCTACATGCCAGGTTCAAGCATGCCATAAGCTAGAGACTATTCCCAAAGCTGCTACTTATATACAGGAAGCAAACTGCATCCCTAAAGCAGCTACTCAGCTGTTTGTGGTAGATCCCACTGTGGAGTTGATTGCCACTCTCATCATGGGTAATAACCGCCACCAGCTGCTCAGCCACTCAACCAGGCCCAGCCAAGTTGACATACAACTTTAACTACCACAATTCCACCCCTTGTACAGATCTCCTTTACTGGGTAGCTCCAGTCTCCTAGTTCCTGAGTGGCAGTGCTAAGGGAGCAAGGAGGCCACATCTTCTAACCTCCTCTAACCCCACAAGAGGAAGACAGAATCACCATCAATAGCCCAAGACCTATTCCCACGAGGCCAGACATGCTGCCTCCCTCCAGCCCTCTCATCAATCCTGACACCAACCATTCCTCCCGTAGCACCCACCACCTTCCTGCTGGCTGCAGTGGCCACACAGAACTCACAGATTATGGGGTTAAAAAGGGAAGCACCAGGCCACAATTCAAGTTCAGGAACAGCACTCAGTCTCAGCCCACCATCTCTCAGCCAACAGTCTCTCACAGCCTCTCTTCCAGCAGTGCATGTCTCTTGGTGTCTCTTTCAGCAATGCATGTCTCTTGCATCTCTTTCCCAGCAGCGCATGTCTCTCAGGAGCACGTGTATCTCAGGAGCACGTTTCTCTCAGGAGTGCGTTTCTCTGAGCAGCACGTCCTTCTCAGCCAGCAGTCAGAGAGAGACTTCTGCTTCTCGGAGGCCTCCTTTTGAGCCTGGCAGAGTGGCCAAACTAGCCAATCATAGCATCAGAATTCTAAGCACTTCCCAGAACATTGCTTTGTGCCACTCTCAACAGAAATACCCCAGGTGGATAACTTTAATAATCAGGAGCTCCTCAGTTGTTCACAGCAAATTCCACCATGGAGTTTACAAAGACTTATGGTTAGAAAAGCCATACCAGGTAATTTACTACACCACAGGCAACCTCACCTCCTTGGCCTGGCAGGTTCTGTTCCTCTCCCTCTTGGGCATGGCAGCCCTGCCCCCTCACTCTTGGGCAGTGGCTATGACTCCATCCCACTGGCTCACATGAATGAGCAGCCCCACACTCCAGAACCAAGTTAGTGAAGGTCTGACTCTTTGAAACCTAGGGGGCTATGGTGGTTATACCCCCAGAGGCCATGATCCTACCATTTGAGGCTGAGGTAGCTCTGCTTCCTGTTTCCTTGGTCTCTCCACTTCTGCCGATTAATGCCAAAGGCATTAATTAATTAATGCCACTCCACAGGAAATCTTCCTGACCCAAAAGCACTCAGCTTTCTTACTCTGTAGTCCAGCCAACCTGCTACTCCTTTTCATGCCAGTCTCTTCTACCAATTAATGCCCGAAGGCAACCCACTGTGCCAGGAAGCTGCCTGTGCAATAGCATCCAGCTTTCTCCTCCATGGGCTGGGAAGGCTGTCACTGTCTCATGCTGGTCACTGGGCTCTGCTGCTGCATCTCTCATGCTATATGCTGGGGTCTCTCTGCTGTGGTCTCTCTGCCAGGGTCTCAGGTCAAGGACGCACTCCACTCCTGCTTCTACATTTTAGGTGTCTGTCAGAGCAGCACCCCACTCTCTTGGTACCATATTCTATTTCAGTTACCTAGTACTGCTCTCTAGTTAGGTAACTGAGTCGTTGTTCAGCAGCCAGTCATGTGCTGCCAATCTTGGGACTTTCGATGGATTTGAATTAATGGTCTGCCATGTGGTTTGGTAATATCAGGACTGTGTCTTGTTACTTGTTGACCTTGGGTTTGTCAGCTTCAGAAGCCAGCAGCTAAGTGAAGCAAAGCCTCCAACTTCAGTGGCCAGGAGCAGTTACCTAGTTCAGTTACCTAGTACTGCATCTACAATCAATGCCAACGGAAGCAGCAGTCAGGACATTAGACAACGTGTAGCATTGGGAAAGTCAACTGCGAAGGAACGGTTTCAAGTGCTGAGGAGCAAGGATATCTCCTTGAGGACTAAGGTGCACCTGACACAAGCCATGATATTTCCAATCGCCTGGTATGCATGTGAGAGCTGGACAATGAATAAGGAAGACCGAAGAAGAGTTGATGCTTTTGAGTTGTGGTGCTGGTGGAGAATGCTGAAAGTACCATGGACTGCTAAAAGAACTAACAGATCTGTCCTGGAGGAAGTGCAGCCAGAATGCTCCTTGGAAGCAAGAATGGCCAGACTTCGTCTCACCTATTTTGGTCATGTTGTAAGAAGGGACCATTCCCTGGAGAAGGATGTCATGCTTGGTAGGGTGGAGCGTCGACGAAAGAGGGGGAGGCCTTCAACGAGATGGATTGATACGGTGGCTGCGATGATGGGCTCAAGTATAGCAGGGATTTTGGGGCTGGCGTGGGATTGGGCAGTGTTTCGTTCTGCTGTGCATGGGGTCGCTATGAGTCGGAAACGACT